TTGGTGGAAGAATCATCAACAACCTGCGTTATGCAGATAACACAGCCCTGCTTGCTGAAACTGAGGAAGACCTGAAGCACTTGCTGCAGAAGGTTAAGGACTGCAGTCTTCAATATGGATTGAAGTTCAACATCAAGAAAACAAAGATTCTTACCACTGGGCCAATTGGCAGCATCAGTATGGATGGTGAAGAGATTGAAATAGTTAACAGTTTTTGTTTACTTGGTTCCACAGTCAACACTCTTGATAACAGCAGCCAGGAAATCAGTAGACGAATTGCATTGGGAAAGTCAGCTGTGAGGGACCTCTCAAGAGTACTGAAGAGCAACGACTTCAGGCTGGAGACTAAGGTGCTCCTGATCCGGGCTATAGTCTTTGCAATTACATGCTATGCATCAGAGAGTTGGACAGTGAATAAGGATGATAGGAGAATTGATGCCTTTGAGCTGTGGTGTTGGAGAAGAGTATTGAATATACCGTGGACTGCTAGGAGAACAAACAGATTTGTCCTGGAGAGGGTGAAGCCAGAATGGTCCTTGGAGTCAAGGATTCTGGGGCTTCGTCTAACATACTTTGGGCATGTTGCAAGGAGGACTGGTCCTTGGAGAGGGACATCATGTTTGGGAGAGTGGAGGGACGGTGCAGGAGAGGAAGACCCTCGATGAGATAGATCGATTCTGTGAGTGGAGTGGTGGGAATAAGTGTGTTTGAGAAGGCGAGTTTGGCACAGGATAGAACGGCATTTAGGGTTCTTGTACCTAGGGTCACTATGAGTCGCAAACAACTCGATGGTACATAACAACAACAATCACAATTGACAGTTGCAATTGCAATGTAATCCAATGATTAGAATGCAATCTTTAGACTTCAAGCCTTTACTTTTAATAAGAAGTCTCAGCAGAAGACTTATCCAGAGGTCGAATATAACAGAACTTTCATCACATATAGAACTTTCATCAAGTATAGGGTTCAAAGTCAGCAGCTGTGTGTGGAAGCTCTGTCTTCTCTCAGAAAGTGAATAGAACTTTACAGTTTACATTATATAGAGGAATTTGTTATGTCAGCTCCGTATAACAAGAGCCAGGATAATGTCAAAGCGTAGTATTGCTGTGTCTTTTCTCCAGGATCTCTAACCAAATGATTGTGTTCACGGTGACAGTTATAAATTTCTAATTATACCCACTGGAAACCTGGTGGAAACTTTGGGAAGATGTGAATGATTGTGCATAGTTTCCTAGATGTGATGGGGGGAAAATCATGGATTTTGCTTGAGAGATGAGATTTACTGACACGAAGGGAAGTGAAATCAGTGAGCTGTTTGTTTCATTTTAGCCATAACAGAGTGACTACATCTGTGGAGAAAAAAGACACAGAAGATGAAGGGGCGGTGATCTGGTGATCCAGGTTCTTAAGTCTGATGGGTAGTCTGAGTCCTAGGAAGAGTCTGAATGGGATTCAAGTCAGAAGGTAGAGGAACAGAAAGAAGAGAGGAAGCCTTCAAAAGAAGGACTGATAACAAAATAAACAAAAAGCTGAAAAAAGAATTGGGATTCTTAGGCATTACCACCGCATGTTGTTGTTGTTGTTGTTGTCATGTGTCATCTAGTCAACCACAACTCATAGCAACCCTATGCACAAAAGCTTGGAATCCTGTTCTATCCTGAGCCAATCTCACTGCTTCTGACACACCTACTTTCATTATGCCAGTTACTGTGTCAATCCACCTCATCTGGGACTTTCTTTTCCTGTGCTATCCTCCCACCTTTCCAACCATGATATCCTGCTCCAAGGACTGGTCCCTCTTGAAAACATGACCAGAGTATGTGAGACAGAGCTTTAAAATCCTTGCCTCCAAGGAGCAGCCTGGTTTCACCCTTTCCAGGTTAAACTTGTTTGTTCTCTTAGCAGTCCATGGTATGTTCAGTACTCTTATCCAGTATGACAACTCAAAAGCATTAATAATTCTTCTGTCAGCCTTAGTCAGCTTTGATCAGCTCTCTGATGCATGGCAAGTAATTGCAAAGATGAGGGTGTGAATCAGGCACACCTTAGTCTCCATATTGGTGTCATTGCTCTTTACCATTTTGGAGAGTTCCCTGACCACAGCTTTTCCCAGAACAATTCATTTGTTGATTTCTTGACTGTTGGTGCCAAGAGTGTTGATTGTGGATCCAAGCAAGGTTATTGTTAATAACCTCAATCTCTATATATCATGGTACTGCCAATTGACCCAGTGGTGAGAATCTTTGTCTTTTTAACATTGAGCTTCAATCTATATTGAAGACCACCATCCTTGACCTTCTGCAGCAAATGCTTCAGGTCTTTCTCAATTTCAGCAAGCACGGTTGTCATCTGTATAACGTAGGTTGTTGATGAATCTTCTTTCAGTCCTGATGTCACATTCCTCCTTATAAAGCTCAGCACTTTCCCCCTTGATTTTGAACCATATAGTGTTTCTTTCCCTGCTCTGTTCTGAGGACTGCTTCTTGGTTCAAATTACAGGTTTCACATGAGCACAATCGTTTTGGGATACCCATCCTTCTCAAGGTCAGCTACAATTTGTTGCAATGTCTACAGTCAAATGACTTTGAATAGTCAATGAAACACAGATAGACATTCCTCTGGTACTCTTTGCTTTCAACCAAGAACCATCTGACATTGGTCATAATGTCCCTGGTGCCACAGCCTCTGGCATAACATCAAGAACATCATTCATAAAAAATAAAGCATAAGGTCATTCTAGAAACAGGGGATGAAAAACCCTACCAAAATGGATGGTAGAAATGACTGAAAATTGTACTAGAATGTTGTTGTTGTTGTTATGTGCCGTTGAATCCCCTGAGACTCATAGCGACAACCTAGTACAACAGTCCTAAATGTTGCTCTATCCTGTGCCAATCTTATTATCTCTGACACACCTATCCCCATTACCCCAGAGACTAAATCAATCCATCTTATTGAGAGTCTTCCTCTCTTGCGCTGTCCCTCCACCCTCCCAAGCATGATGTCCCTCTTCAAGGACCGGTCTTACCTTGCAACATGTCCAAAGTATGTCAGACAGAGCTTCAGAATCCTCACCTCCAAGGAGCAGAGGCTATAATGGGTAAAAAGTGCTAAGTAAAAGAGATAAGCAAAAGATTTCAAAGGGCAGCTTGAGAAGCCTACGTAAAGTGCTATAAAGAAATGTGTGAAGAGTTGAAGTTAGAAAACATTAAAGAGATGAATAATCTCAGCATTGCTCAAACTGAATGGAATAACAAATTCAAGTCTCAAGTTGCAATTCTGAAGGATTCTATGGGCAAATATTACATGAAATATTACAGAAGGGAATACACAGAATCACTTTATTAAAAATAATTGTCCAACACAAAAACATCTCAGGAAGTAGCATATTGTTCAAGAATCAATGGTATTAAAGAAAGAAGTTCAAGCTGTACTAAAGACATTGGCAAAAATATGGACATGCTCACTGGTCTATGTCAAGAAATATGGAAGGCAGCTGCCTGACCCATTGAGTGGAAGATATCCATATTTGTTCTCATCTCCCCACCAAAAAAAGATGATCTAACAGAATGTGGAAATCATCAGACAGTATCACACGAAGATAAAATCTTGGTAAAGATTACTCAGAAACAGCTAGAATGGTACATCAACAGAGAACTGCCAGAAATTCAGGCTGATTCAGAAGAGGCTATGGGATATCATTGCTGTTATCAGATGGATCTTGGCAGAAAGCAGAGAATACCAAAAAAAGATGTTTTAGTGTGTGAAAAGTTAGCACCTACTGAGAGATTCACTCACTCATTCTTGCTATAGAGTCAGAAGCAACTCACAGCTCCCCCTCCAGTGGATTCTTGAGGCTTTATTTCCAGCCACTTGGCAGCATCATGATAGAAGGTGAAGAGATTGAGATTGTTAATAACTTCAGTTTGCTTGGCTCCACAATCTACACTCTTGGTGCCAGCAGCCAGGAAATGAAAGGATGTATTGCACTGCGAAAGTCTGCTGTCAGGGACCGCTCTAGAATACTGAAGAGCAACAATGACAGTCTGGAGACTAAGATACCCCTGTTCCAGGCCATGGTCTTCACAATTACTTGCTATGCATCAGAAAGCTGGACAATGACTAGGGATGACAGAAGAAGAATTGAGGTCTTAAAGTTGTGGCGCTGGAGAATAGTACTGAATATACCATGGACTGCTAGGAGAATACAGGTTTGTCATAGAGAGGGTGTGACCAGGCTGCTCCTAGGAGGCAAGGAGTCTGAAGCTATGTCTGACATACTTTGGGCATGTTGCAAGGAGGGATCAGTCCTTGGAGAGGGACATCATGCTTGGGAGGTTGGCGGGGGACAGAGCAAGAGAGGAAGACCCTGGATGAGATGGATTGACTCAGTGAATGAGCTAATGGGGGCAAGTGTGTCTGAGACGATGAGGTTGGCTCAGGATAGAGCCAGGTTCCGAGTTGTACACAGGGGTCACTAAGAGTCGCAAGTGACTTGAGGGCACATAGCAACAACATTTACTACATCCACTTGGGAAGTGATTGTCACTATTTCTCTGTGTCGGCTGGTGGTGGATTCCAATTTCCAGCGAGGCGCCACCTTTAGGCTAGCAGTGCATTTCTCCACAGGCTGGGCTACCAGATCTGATTGAGAAATTTGCCTTGTATTATTCCATTAGTTCTAAGAGAGGCCTTTGTTCTTAAGAAAGCATGAAAAGTTCATTTCAAACTCTTACAGGGCAGTTAAGAGAAAAACTGTTAATATTTTCCTATACTGAGGAGTTAGTTTTCTATTTACTGTTGGTTGCCCTGTGGCCAAGCGGGCCTGTTCTCGGGGTGCCCGCCCTTCCCTCCAGTCCCGGCGCCCCTTCAGTGCCCAGCCCGCGCCCTGGTGGACAATGAAGCCCCCGACCCTGCTCCCACCAGGGTCGAAGTACACACACTTTCTCCTGGGCAAGTGGCCGAGCTTCCTGGTGCCGCCTCCCCCTGCCACTCAGGTCGGTCACCGTCGCGGGCGGCGGGGGCGGAGCCGGAGGGAGCGGAACCCAGAGCTACAAGGCGCGGAGCGCACAGGCGCGGCGGTCACTCGGCTTGCGCTTGGCGCCCGGTCGGAGTCTCCGAGTCTCCGTCCTCGCAGCCAGGGCTCCGCCAAGGCTGTGCGCGCCCGCAGGGCTGCCCAACATGCGGCTGAGGAGGTGAGCCTACCGGGAGTGGGTGGAGCGGGAGAGCGCGCGGGCGCGGAGTTGGCAGCGCGGTGGCCGGAGCTGGGTCTCCCTGCCCGCGGTGGCGGGGAGGGGGGGCGAGCGGGGACTGAAGGCGCTCCGCTGTTTCGGTCCCTTCGTTTTTCCCAGAGCCCGGGGCTCTGAAGCCCGCTCCCCACTTTTCTCTTGGGCGGCGCCCTTCCAGGCGGGGGTTCGGCCAGGGTGGCGCGGTCGGGCGGGGTTACCTGTGGGCCGGGCTGTTGGAGCCCAGCGAGGGTGGGGGCCGCGTTAGACTGGGCAGTGCGGGGAGTGCTGGGAGGCCCCGTCGCCAGGGGAAGGGGCGAGGGCTGGAAGGAGGGAAGGCTTTCCTCCAGCCACCCCTTGGCCTGTCACACCTACCCTGGACACCCTGTTCCCACACCAGGGGATTTCCCGCAAAGGAGAGCAAGCTGTGTAGCCACACTGTGCGGACACTAGTCGTTCTAGAAAGTTGCCCAAGGACTGCAGGTGCCCACTGTCCCACTCACACATACCTGGGACCCCCATCACCTAGCTAGAGGAGGGGGAGGCCTCAGGGCCAGCCTCCTAAACATCTTCTGACACCTTAGAGGAGAAAGTGACAGTTTTGATCCCTGACTTTTTTGCCAAATTACCCCTTCAAGCACTGTCCTCTTTTGTACCTCCTTGGGAATAGTGAAGATCCCTGTGCCCCGGTGTCTTGCCCACAATCAGAGTCTCCTGGATTACACGCCTACACTCCTCAGGTGGAAATGTGTTCATAAGCGAATTGAGAGAGACACACAGGGAGAGAATCCTTGAGCCTGATCTGTCAGCCATCAGTCACCCACACCTGCGACAAGTGACTGCTTTCTCCTCTGAGCTCAGGAACACTGCACTGGGGCTGGGGGTCGCCAGGTAGGGTGGGCTGTCAGTGGGGTCAGAGGGCAGAGCTGACCCAGGAGCAGGGCGTGGTGAGGACTCAACAAGGGGTTCCAGGAGATGGAACAGTCTTAGTGGCTGTACTCAAGGAGGGGCAGGAGCCCAAAGAGTCCATCTCCCCACTGCCCAGGAAGACCCTGAGGAGACCTGACAGCTGGGACTCCTCAGCACAGATTGCTAAAGGGACCTTCAGGGAACTGGGTGTGATTGGAGAGAAATGGGGTTATAGAAAGCACCTGCAGCTGTAGAGGTTACTGTAGCTCCAGGGGAACATGAGAATAGAGGGCTAACTAGAGACTGGGATCCTGAGTATAGATCATCACAACTATTTCCTCAAAGCAATGTGGCAGCCTCATCAGCTAGTGCAGAGGGAAGGAGAGGGTGAGACCCTTCTTCAGGCTACAGCCTGCAGGAGTATGGGGGAGAGTCCCTGGTGGTGCAGGGAGAGAACGGATGTCATGTGTAAAACATGCAAGCTGCAGGCCCTGTGACAGTTGTCAGGGGAGGAACGGGGTCCCAGGTGACGCCTTTAACCCTGCAAAGCCCCAGAGGGTCTCTGTGGAGAGAGAAGAATGAGGGTACACACACATAGGTTTCTGAGGAACCTCATTTGGAGATGGAGGGAAATAAAACATAACAAGCACCCTGGACCCTGTCCTTATGAGCAGCTGGTGTGCGTGCTAGGATCAGATGGTCTGAATTACTGTAGAGCAGAGGATGAGCCCCTTACCCGTGGGAGACCCTGAGGGGTAGGCTTTGGAGGGAAGCATGTGAACCTCTAGGCTGTAGGTTCTCAAAGTCATTTGATGGCCCAGGAGCGGGGGCGAGGTGCCAGAGGACCTGAAACACAGCAACCATGAGATTCAGTTTCAGAATAATCATGCTCCTTCACAACGTTGTCCTATTATTAACTTAATCTTACTTTTGGACATTTTAGATGTTTTATGTCTCCCCAAATTTTAAATGAAGTTGAGAACTTTAAAAAATATCTATTTTAACCATTTCTCTGTACCAGTCCAGTCAAATCAAAGGCTCTGGCTTTGATGATGGCCATCCTGAATTATCTAGGTGAAAAGACCCCTCCTGAGTGGACAGATTCCCAGTTTGCATCCCCTTGGGGTTTGCCATGCTGAGAGGGCAGGCAGGTGGTCCTAGCTGTTCTCGGAATTCGCAGACACTCAGAATTTGAGCAAGACTAGACATGGCTCAGAGCAGATATGTTCACATTGATATGATGGTGTACCTGCAGGTGACTCACCTGCCGGTGTCGTTTCTCACCTCCTATCTGGTTTTATATTTCTTTCCAGTCCTGGACTGTTTTTGCTACTGCTCAGTGGTCTGCGATCTGGTAAGTACAGGTGGGCTTTGACTTCTGGAGGGGGGGGTTATCACTTGGGAAAGATGGTCATCGAAACCTTCAGTGGACAGACTGAGGCAGGAGTTAGAGTTTTCCTGTCAAAGTCCTTCCTGCTTGATCTTCTCCAGAAGCTCTAACAAACCCAAACCCAGTACAATTGAATCTGTTCAGGTGCCTGGAAAACTCATGCATTACAGGGTAGAGCTAGCTTCTCCACGGGATTTTCTTGGCTGTAATCTATATGACAGGCAGATTGCCAAGGTCTTTCCAGGGCCCTGCTGGATGAGTTCAAATCCATTGAGTGGTAGTCAATCTGTACAAGAGCAAAATAGGAAACCACCACAAGAGGGCCCATTTTCTAAACGCCATAGTTGTTGTTTCGTTTTGTGTTTAGTGGACTGTGGATGCAGTTCCTCCTGTGGGTTTCTGTTCCTCTTATTACCAGATACGCTAGGGGGGCTCTGGTCCTCCAGGGCTCTTGCCTCTTCACCTTAGTCTTCTGCCCAGCCCCGAAGGCTTTCCCAAGAACTAGAAGTTTAGATGTGCCACCAGTCCAGAGGGGAGGTTGGGGCGTGAGGATGTCCTTGGAGGTATTAAACAGTTTTCACAGTGAAACTACTTGGCCTTTTTATGATGTAACACGACTAATTATAATGTTGTTGAGATGTTGATCTTAACCTTTAAGTGTCTAGATTTTTAAAAATAACTATTTCTTTTTAGTGATATTGTTAGAAGTATACAGCACAAAACCAGACACCAGTTAGTTATTCAGCGACATTGATTACATTGTTCAAATTGTACAGCTGTTCTCGCCCTCTCCCATTGACATAAACTCACTGCCTCTGGGTTTTACCTGTCTATTTTTTCCAGCTGCTGTGTTGAGATTGATCCTAGATCTTTGCATGCATGATGCTTAAAGCACTAAATATTAGAAATGTTTTAAACTTTTATCTTTAATTAATACTAGACCCCCAAGGAGTTGTAAAAATTGTACAGAGAGGCCCAGTGTCCTCATCACCCAGCCTGTCTCGATGAGAGCCCCTTGAGTGCATGATCAAAGCCAGAAAATTGGTACTGGAGAATGTAGTGAACTCTTTCACAGTAAAGGTCTGAACTTGGCAAGTATTCTTGCACTCCTAAGCTCCAGGCATCATGCGTTATACATCGGACTGCTAACCCAAAAGTTCCTAGTCTGAAATGATGAGCCATTCTCAAGAGAGAGCTGGGGCAGTCTGCTCCTGCTGATGTAAGGCCTCAGAGAGCCATTGGCCACCCGTGGACCACCATGAGTTGGAATGAACCCAACAAACAGTAGTTGGGTGGGTTGGGGAAGTAGATCTTTGGGTCCCTGGGTAGATCAAGTAAGCATTTGACTGCTAATGGAATAGTTGGAGGTTCTAATCCAGCCAGTGGTGCCTTACAAGAAAGGCCCACTTCCAAGATATTTGTTCCCGAAAGTGCTTGCTCGCTGTGACACACATGAGGTTCCCGTGAGTCAGAGCGTGCTTGCAGCCGCTGTAGTGGTGACTGTCTCACTGAATTTATTCAGTGAAATTCACTGTCTCCTTTTCTGCTTACGTGAGGCTCACACCAGGACACTGGCCTCATGGACTAACTTCTCAGGCTTGCACCCTAACCTGGGAAACCAACTCTCCTTTTTCAGCTGTTGCAGATAACCCAAAGGAAGAAGTCCAGGGGATTGTGGGCAGCACCGTTAAACTCAACTGTGTTTATGGTGAAGGAAGTAATTTTGATCTAAGTGACTTTTATGTTTATTGGCAACTCGAGGAAAAAACTGTGGCCTCTCAGAAGGTGGTCAAAGAGGTGGCTTCCTATGTGCCCGGGAAGAGCTCCCCAGACAATGAAAATAACCATTACCGACATCGGGCCCACCTGTCGCTGGAGAGTATGGAGCAAGGCGATTTCTCTCTGTATTTACACAACATCACCCCACAGGATGAGCAGACGTTTCACTGTCGTGTGATCAGGAAGTCCTTGCACTTAAATAACGTTTTGCATGTTGAAGTCACATTGCATGTGGCAGGTAAGACCACTGAAGTCCAAAGGATTGATTTCACCCCAGCCTTACATCCTGGGAATGCCCTGGGTGATTAACAGTGGGCACACTCTGCAGCTAGCTGGAAGGTTGGCAGTTCAAGTAAACTGAGAAGTGCCTTGGAATAAAGACCTGGCAATCTACTTCTGAATCAGCCACTGAAAACCCTATGAAGTGCAATGCCGATCCATATGGGGTCACCACAAATCAATTAAATTGACAACAACTGATAACTTTCCTTACATCCTAGAAAACTAGTAATAATTTTGTTGTTGTTGTTACTGTGTACCATAGAGTTGGAACCAACACACAGCTGGCCCTCCAACAGATACCTGATCCTCTGGCAAATTTTCAGAGGCAGTTAATTGCACAGGAAGAGATTGCCCGTCTTTCTCCCACAGAGCAGCTGGTGGCCTCCAACCATATGCCTTCAGGATTGCTGCACAGCTTCTTGCTACAAGGCCACTAGGACTCCCTAGTAATATTTGTATTAATTGATAATAAATTCCCTTTATCACATGTGAGGGAGCCCTGGTGGCTCAGTCAGTAGGGGTTTGTGCAGCTAGTTCAAAGGTGGCATCTCTTGGTTCAGTTCAAATCCACTAGCAGTTCTGAGGGAGAAAGACAGGCCGTCACCTCCCATGTGATTCACAGTCTCCGGAAACTCACTGAAGAGTCAGCCGTGAGGCAGCTCTGATTTAACAGCAATGAGTTTTTGAGATTTTTTGTACATAAAAACTCTTGTACCCTGTCAGTAGTAGTATTAATTTCAAATAATAAATTCAATCCTCCTGGCTTGTTTGTCTGAATCCTAATGTAAAGGGAATCCTAATTAATCTCTATTGATGGCTTCTACTTAACCAAGTTGCTTAAACTTGGCTGACAAATCATTCAACATGGAAGAAACTTTCCCATGAGCTGTAGCTACCTGATTTTATAAAAGAGTTCCTAATCTTACCTTTACCTTGAACACTCCTCCACTTCAACTCAAACTATGTTTTATGAAATTGAGAAGGAGGGAGAGAAGAGTACTGTGAAATACTAAAATGAGGTAAAAATTTAGGGAAAAATGAAAATCCACTAAGATCTAGTGGGTAAGGAGTTTGCTACCAACCCAAAGGCAGGCAGTTCAAACCCGCCAGCTGTGCCTCAGGAGAAAATTGGGCAATCTCCTTCTGTGTGATTTTTAGTCTCTGAAAACTCGCTGGAGAATCAGTCAGCTATAAATCAGTCAGTCCTAGAATGACTGCATGAAACTGCAGTAATAAGGCCCCGAGGACATGGCTCAGTGGGAAGGCAGTGTCCATTTCAAAACCTCTCCTGAGAACTCCGTGAGGCCTGGAGAGATGTAATCTGTGGGTGCTTTGCTGGGCTCGTTCTCTGCCCTTAACAAAGAATGAGTAGAAGGTGGCTCTTGGTCAGAAAAGACCTTCGAGCTCTTTCCAGATGTGATTCTGACCTCATCCCCTCCTAGATTCAGGGTACTGCCATCCTCCTTCTGTCCTGTCCCAGGGCACAGTGTACCCTGTGTCTGATGACCCTGGGTCACTGCCCATCCTCACCCCTTCTTCCTTCTCCTGCAGCCAACTACAGCATGCCCGTCGTCAGCAGCCCCACCAGGCCCACTGAGGACGAGGTGGTCACCTTCACGTGCAGGTCCACAAATGGCTACCCGGTCCCTAAAGTGTACTGGATCAACCAGACAGACAACAGCCTGCTCGACGAGGCGCTGCAGAACAGCACCGTGTACAAGAACGAGCAGAATTTATACGACGTGGTCAGCACCCTGAGCATCCGGTGGACCCCCAACCTGAACGTGCAGTGCTGCATCGAGAACGCTCTGCTGCACCAAAACCTGACTGTCAGCAGCAGCCAGATTGGCGAAGCCCCAGGTCTGCACTTGACCCCAACCCAAGGGGGGAGGCCAGTGGGGGCTCAGACAGAGATGTAGTCCCTGTTGGGTGGCTTCATGTGGTGTCCCAAAGGTGGCTGTGAAGGAAAGAAGGGGAGGACTGGGTGTGAGACACAGAAGCACTGCCGTTTCTGAGGGCAGACATGGGGCTAGAATCTCAAAACACAGTTGCAATTGAGTCAGCGAGTCTGCTCTGACTGAGGCCGCCTCCGCGGGTGTCAGCGTAGAACAATGGTCCGGAGGGTTTGCAAGCAGATCTCAAGGCCTGTTTTCCAAGGTCTCTCTGGGTGGATTCAAACCTCTAACGTTACGGTCAGCAGCTGTGCATGTTCACTGTTGGCATACTCAGGGACTTCCAGGACTCAGTGCACTAAATCTCTGTTACAACCTGAGGCCGTCTGTTCTCTTGAGTTCATTTTACAGATGAGGGACTGAGACTCTAAAGGGTCATGTAATCACAAGTCACGGGGGCAGGGAGTGGCTGTGTCAGGACTGAAGCTCTTAGCTTTGAACATCCCCCTAAGAGGACTTCTGGTTGTTGCTCACCCTGGTCCTCCTCATGCAAGACTGTCAGGGTGACTTTAGGCTGTTGTTTATTTTTTATTGATTTGCATACAAAGCTCATATATATATTGTGTTTCATACTTTCCTTCATCCACATGTATTTCATACAATCATTCCCATGTATTATATTTTATAAAATTAATCATCATGGAATTATGCCCATCATTATCCCATCTTTTCAGGTCCACATTGGTGCTTTCTCATTTCCTTTACATTCTCCCTCTACCGACCAAGTTGGGTGACCCTAATTTCCCCTCTGTCCATCCTCACTCCTTCACTCCTACCCCTTACCCTCTCAAACCCCTATACACATTTTACTGGCTAGCCTTCTATTTTTACAATAATGGTCTTCTGCAGTATTTGTCCTTATAAGACTGAGTTAGTTCACTCAGCATAATGCTCTCCAGTCTCTCATGTGTTATATTTTTTTAAAATTGTTGCTTCTGAGAGGTGACTCCTTTTTCTTAGAAGCCCTTCACAGAGATCTATCACAGAGATGAGAGGTGGAAGATGGAAACACGTGAAGGGATGTCTATGTGCTGCAGCAGGGGCCTGGTTCACAACAAAAATGGCAGGGCCCCTGCTCCCCAGTGAGTAAAAGTTGCAAAGTGATAATCAAGGTGAAACCAAGCACAGTTCTCTATGTGACGGGGACACTGGCTACCAGGAACCGCGTCAGAGCTAGGATACTCTCTGACATTCAGAATCCTGAATTTCTGCAATTTAGGGCTCATAGCCTCTGAGCTCACCCGAATGATTAGGAAAGAGCTGCCCTAAAAAGCCTGCCTTCAAGAACTGCACACCAGCCAGCACTGAAGGTGTAACCTGGACGGAAGATGTCTGTCCCTGGCTGTACAGTGGGATCACATTAACACCCTGAACCTTTCCCGTGCCCATCTGATCAGAACCGCTGGCTAGCTCCTGACATCAGAACAGCTTCTAAGAGTGTTCAGATGGGTCGAAGGAACATCCAAGGCTGAATCGCTGTACTTAGAGAAACACTGAGTGTTTGTAATGAGCTTCTCAGGGTGGTGGTGTGTATTTGATTTTAAAAACCACTGTTTAAAGCTGTAGAGCTGAGCATTAAGACAGAAGAAACTGGAGCCTTAGTCCACTAGTAGTGGGATTGTAAAGTGGGCCACTTGCTGTGGAAAATGTGGCAATTCCTCAGAAAGTTGAACACAGACTTACCATCTGACTAAGCATTTCCACTCCTAGGTCTATACCCAAGAAAGCAAGTACTCATCATAGAGGTGTCCGTGTTTGGATACAATGCTTGTGGAAGCACTGTTCATAATAAGCAAAAAATGGAAACAACCCAAAGGTTCATCAACTGATGGAATGATAAAGTGTGATGAATACAGACCTTGGAGTATGATTCAGCTGTAAGAAAGAATGAAGTTCTAATGCTGCCATGAGTGAACTTTGAAAGCATGATTCCGAGTGAAATAAATGAAGACCCCAAAGACTGCCCTTTGTGTGATTTGTTTATGAGAAATGTCAAGAATCAACAAATCCAGAGACAGAATGCAGATTGGTGGTTGCCAGCACAGAGGGAGGGCGAAGGGGGAATGGCTGCTGAAGGCTGGTGTTTCGTGTTGGGAAGGGATGAGAATGTTTTCAAATTACAGTGGTTGCACAATATTATGCACAGTATTTACTGCTTGTCACTGAAGGGTGCATTTTAGTAGAGCAGTTACTTCTACGTCCTGTGAATTCCACCTCGCTTAAAAACAAAAGAAAAGACGAAATGGGGGTCCAGACCAAGCCCCTCTGCAGGTGGACACCTGTCACCCCCAGGAATTACAGGTGATACGTGTAGAAAGAGGAGGCCACAGGAGGAAAGGACATTCTGGCGTCAGAGGACATTCTGACATCAGATACAGCCTTTCTGTGAGACAGCTCACATTGCACAGATCACAAAATCATCTCAGCCAAGGGCTTGGGAATAAATCCTTCAGTCTAGCACTTGCTTTTAGGATGCAAAAGACTGTTTTGCACCTTACTCTTCAAATCTTGAATTCTTTTTCTCTTTCTTGCAGAGACTTCCTCTGAATACATAGACAGGATCACAGATTATCCAAACAACCCCTCCCCGGAGACGCACACGGCCATGTTTATCATCTTTGGAATCCTGGCCGTGACTGTGGCCATGGCTGCTGGCTGGTTCTGTAGGAAGAGATGTTCCCAAGGAAGCTACACAGGTATCAGACAAGGTTTCATGGTGCAGACCATCTACACTTGTCTCATAGTAGGCATCTCATTCTACAAGATGTAGCTTTCACTCACAGTTTGTTTGCCTTTAATAGCATTCACATTCACTAGGGTTAGTGACTTAAAACACTCTGCACAAGTGGTATTAGCCTGGGCATCTGAGGCCCTGTACCTCCAAAGTACTCACTTCAGGTCCAGACTTCTAGGTTCTGGATAGGAGTAATGGGTTCCAGACTTCAAAGTCAGGACAGAGTTTGTTTCTGAAAAAGCACACCTCATAATACTGGTATATGCCTGTCCATCTGCAATACCGTCAACTCAAAAATATATCTAGAAAACAGGTGCACATATTTCAGCTGCAGAAAATCTGGAAACAGAACCTTCAGTTGCTGGATTGAAGCAGTGTAGAGCCCAGACGGACCACAGGTGACATCAGCCTCTGCTCGTAAAGCCCCTCTCACATCTTAGGGGGCCCAGGATGGTCTCCTAGGTTGGCAGATGTCCCAGAGGTCTGAATGACATGGTCAGGGCTTTTCCTGGACATGCCAAGGAGCAAAAGGCCAAGGTTAGCGGGGAGGAAAATTGCCATTGAGCGGGCGCTTCTCCTGTCTCCCCTGGAGCGTGGGAGGAGAACAGTGCTCTGTAGAGTTTGCAGAGGCTGATTTAGAAGAAACAGATGAGCAGGCTCTGAGGCACCTCTGGGTGAACTTGAACCGCCAGCTTCTCATATTGTTTCTTTGACTCTTTTTAAACTCTGAATATAAATCAAACCGGGAAAACTAAACCAGTTGCTGTCAGGTTGTGCCTCGTGCATGATGACCCAACTCACTCAGAGCAGCAGCGCATCCCTACGATCCTCGGTGGCTGCCTTTTCAGACATAGGTCACCAGGACGGTGTGCAGCTCCCGGGACCCCCAGGGGCACAAAGGCAGAACAATTAATGGGATGCACTCATGCCTTGATTACACACTGGCATCAGGAGGAGCTTCCCCCCACAGACATCCTTTTCTGCCCTGCTCCTCTCTCATGCTCTTGAGTTTCCGTCTGTGGGTTCATTACCAGTGCCAGTTATCCCGGAAGTCATTGCTCCACACACAGCCTGCTGTGCTGATCTAGTCAGTTTGTTTTTTTTTAAATTTTTTATTTTTTTTATTTTATTTTATTATTTTTGTGTGCGTGTACCGTCAAATCAGATCTGACTGGTACAGGAGGAGATTGTCCCTCCTTACCCGGCAGAGCATCTGGTGGATTCGAACTGTTCGCCTCTGGGATTGTAGTTGCAGCTCCTTGCCACTAGGCCACCAGAGCTCCCCTTGATCTAGTCAGTCTGGAAGAGGGTCTTACGTCAAGGGAAGAAAATCTTAAAAGGACTGGGGGAGGGGAGGTGGGGGGAGAACCTGCACACTTGCATTTTAAAGAACATCTTCTACAAATAAGAATGTTCTGGAAGGTCCCGGCTAGGTCAGATGCTAAAGGTGGCACATCCATCCCGAGCCCCTACACTGACTGGGTGCTCATCTGCTCTTTTCTAAAGTGACAGAAAATTTAATAAAGTGGTTACTCATTCCAAAGTTTGCTTTGGAATGAGTTCCTCTTTTTTTTTTTTTTCAAGGTCTTGGTTTAGCTCACAGATGCACCCAGTGCCAGAGGAGGAAGAAGCGAGTGAGGGATTTCGAGTTCAGGGTTCAGAGGGAAAGGGGAGGACAGTGTTGGTGGCCCGTGGGACCCCTCATCTGGGGGTCTGTGCCCCCTCCAGAGAGCAGTAGGAGGGACAGTCCAGCACTGGGGGAGGGCACTGACACCCCGGGTCCTGCAGTATCTGCCTTCCACATCCCTGACATCTGTGGTGTTCACTCCAGCAGGTACCCAGGGTGACCCGCCAGAACTCAGACTCACAGGTGAGTATGCAGAGAGGACTTCCCGTTGCCATGACTGTATGTTCCTTGAGCCTTTTCTGACATTTTTACGGTGGAGTTTTCCAAACACACAAAAGCTGAGAAGATGCCTGTGATGAGCCCCCAGGCACCCCTCCTCCATACTCATCCAGCCACTGTCAACCTCATCCTCTGTGTGTGTCCTCTTTCCACTCCCACCCTTACGGCCCCACTCTCACCCTGGCCTCTTCGCTGTCACTTTACCCCCTCACTTCCTCAATCCCACCCAGACCTCACCACTCCCTGCGTTCTAACCCCCGACTTCCTGGGAATCTGAGCCACAGACACCACATTGCTCTGGGCTGTAACAGACTCAATGGTGGCCTTATGTTTTCCACAGGCATAAGGGAGATGCTGATTCCTCTTCCTGTGAGGGAATATCCACTCAGTCCAACACTCAGCAGGACCTTGAGCTGTGAGGGTGGCCCTTAAAGAGGCCTGCTCAGGCTCTGTGCCCTTGGCAAACTGCTGCCCGTCCCTGAGCTCTGTTGTTCCCTGTGGAAAGGGGCCTACTGAGGAGGATGGGGCCCAGCATAGCCAGCCCACCCCTCAGTACATGGTACACTCACCTCTGAGGGTGCCCACCCACTGACCCAGGGGAGCTGGGCTGTGTCCCCATGTGTCTGTAGAGACGCCTTCTAGAGGCCAGGCAAGCCAAGTTCAGATAACTTTGGAACACAGCTTGCCAAGAAATTAGGGCCTGTCTGTTCTTAATCAGGGTAAAACGGACTACACTGTTCTCAGACGGCTGTGCCCAGAGACCTATCCTACAAGGTCCCATGCTTTCCTGGTTTGAGTGGGTGATGGGAGGGGCAGCCTCTCACCTCCTCTCTTTTCTTTGCAGACCATGTTTGACGGGAGCCCCCGAAAGATGTGGCTAGGGCTTCGGGGAGATGCTCTGAGGCCAGAATTCACAGCAGCTGGGGAAAGCCTCCCTTTGTGAAAAGAGGGCCAAGATTTGGACAGGTTTGCCCCCATCTTCATCGCTTTGAGGGACAAGGAGCCTCCTAGCCTGAGGGGACACAGGGCCTCCCTCGGCGGGAGCACAGGCCCAGAAGGATGGACTGGGGCCACCGCTGACCCTGAACGAGGCCTTTCAGAAGGATCAGCATGTGAGGACTGAGTCTCCCTGAGTGAGCACATTTGGTGACCGAGTGTGGAATGAGATGGGCCTCGTGACAGCCGCTTCACCACTGCAAACACGCTGGCTCTGTGGCCTGGACTATGGAAACTGCACCTTTGTCACCTTTGTGGCCTCACAGCTGGAAGAAGGGAGCTGGATTTGTGAAAATGAGTGAGTGCCCCACTCTCTGCAGAATCCCTCTAGAGAAGTGGGAGCTGTGCTGGGAGGGGCTGCCAGGAGTTCACAGGAGATACAGTTTGTGGGGGTCCATGCACTGCTGCCTACAAGCTGTATTGCGTCCTATACTCTGAAGCTTCGGGACCCGTGTGTCTGTGCACATAACATACATGTGTGCATGTGGGTCTCCGTGTGACTTGTTTCATCCATGTGCCTGTTCATCTGTTGCTTCCATGTGTCTGTACATGTGTGTCTCTTCACGTGGCGGTGTGTGCACACGTATCTGTTCCTGTATGTATGTGCCTGTAAGTATGTGTGCTCATGTGTGTCTGTGTGCCCATGAATTTATTAAATGACTTCACGTCAAGAACCTTTGGAGATTCCACTGTGTTTATTCTCCTCTGAGATACTTCCTGGGAAGAACTGGGAAGAAAAACCTGACCTCATTTTCTTTCCCTCCTAGAAAGGCTCAGGAGGGATTTTGTGGGAGGAAGGCCAAGGCCAAGGGACACAGTGCTTCCCAGACCCTCAACAATGCAGCCAGGAAAGTATACACATCCCTGAGGCTGCAATGATGCTGGACTGAACACACATGTTCCCAGTGACAGGATCAGGGAGTGACCGTGGCAGTGCCCAGGACTTTCTTTGCACGGCTGTAATCAGATCTGACCAGCAGGCTTAGTCACTCGCCTCTGCTGCCCTCTTCATCCCCAGCTAACTCCTCTCCTAGTGTCCTGCTCAGCCTTCATGCCCTGCCCTGCCCTCCAGGCTCATGAGGAAAATGACCAGCTCCAGAGCCAGGTTCCTTGGAGGCCAGCGCCCCACAGGTTCAAGGAGTCGGGCAGAGCCACAGGCTCCCTCAGAAGCACTGGTTTAGAAGACTCTCCAGGTGGTTTCCATGTTGTAGCTAGAGTACCTCAGGGGAAGGTTCTGGAAAGGAGGCCAGCCAGGTAATCCAGCTATGTACACTGCTCAGAGACAGTGGTAGGTGGTCTGGCCTCCTAGACACCAACCACCTGAAGCTGTGGACAAACACCTTCCTGCTCAGAATCCCCTGGGGGTCCCAGAGGTCAGTCAAGAGTATTATTGTTGGGCTCATGGCCAGTCAGTACTGATGGTGACAGGCAACCTGCAGGCCTCAGACCTGACATGGGCCAGAATGAGGAGCAAGGGCCGTACAGAGTCAGAAAGTTCCAGAAATTGTTACAGGAAGTTGTTTGTATGTTTTTGAACCATAACATCCTCACACTGGCTTTAAAATTCTTGGGATAAGTGATCCTCACAGACTTTTTATAGAAAAATTTTTCTTCTATACTGGTTTATTTACAAAGTTCATATACATTGTTTTTCTATCGGATCTTACCCATTTCCTTTACTCACCCCCTCCACCCATCAAATTGTGCGACCCTGTGATTAACCCCACCCCACTCCCACTCATCCTCACCCCTATGCTTTCCCCCCTCCTGGATCCTGATACTCATTCTACAATGATGGTTTTATACAGTATTTGTCCTTATGGGACTGAGTTAGCTCACTTTGCATAATGCTCTCCAGTCCCTCCCAAGTTAGGTAGTAATTTACAAAATCATTGCTCCTGCGTGCTGTGCAGTATTCCATTGTGTGAATGTACCATAATTTCTCAATCCATTCAACACTTGGGCTGCTTTCATGTTCTTGCGATGGTGAATAACACTGTCATGAACACTGGTGTACAAGTCTCCATTTGTACCTCAGTTCTTATTCTCAGGGTATATTCCAAACAGTGGAATAGGTGGTTTATATGGAATTTCTATGTTCAGCTTTTTTGAGGAAGCGCCAAATTGCCTTCCAGAGTAGTTGGACCATTTTGCAATCGCACCAGCAGTGTATAAGAGTTCCTATCTCACCACATCCTCTCCAACACTTATTACTTGCTTCTCAGCAGAAACCAGGCAAGCTAGAAAACAATGGGATGGCATATACAGAAAGTTGAAAGAAAAAGAACTCCCAGCCAAGGATCCTATACCCTGCAAAACTTTCCACCAAATATGAAGGATAAATAAGATTCTTTGCGGAACAGAAGGAACTTAAGGAATTTGTGAAAACAAGACCAATACTACAAGAAATTTTAAGTGAATCAAGTGGATGGACCATAGCAACCAGAAGCGACAGAAAAAGAAACACAACAAAATGACAACAGTAGATCTCACAGACTTTTTACTAGGAAAATGTATAAAGATGCCTGTTGTTCCAGAGAGAACAATGGGGAGGTCACTCATTGCCATCTCAAACAAAGAGGTGCAAGGGCTGCAGGGCCAAACGGAAAGGGTGGTCAGTGCCAGCAAGAGCAGCCAGAGGCTGACAGGGCCGGCTTTCTGGGAAGCCACGCCTGCCTGCCCAGGAGCACCCCTGTCCTGGGTCCCATCTTCAGACTCCTAGGCCTCAGGAGAAGGGGCCTGAAGCCCTCACACACAAAGTAGGTCAGCAAGAAGACCAGGTGAGGTTCTAGCTTTCCTGTCAAGTCATTGCCTTTCATCAGGAAAATGGGGCAAGGCTCTCCAGTTCAGCCCAGCTCAGCTAGCAGAAGCCTTCACCAAGCTGGTGGTGGTGGTGGGGGGCTGGGGTTCCTGCTGCATCCTGCCCCTCACCAGCTCCCACAATTATGCACTCCTCCCAAATATGAGCTTAGTCGGGTTTCTGCTCTAGTGGTTGAGGGCCAAGTTATTGCCCCCAGTGGTCTTGGGGCTTAGGGAGAGATGCATGACCTGACAGCTTTACTTGGCCGCAGAGCTGAACATTCCAGAAGCTATTGTTCTGTTCCAGTACATCCCCTCACTGCCGTGGTCTGTTTGAGGGTAACTTGGTAGAGGCTGTGGCTGGTCTGTAAGGTTGTTCAGTTGCTGCTCAGTTTCCATGCTGAGTTGCACATGGGCCCAGCTCCAATGTTTGGACACAAACATTGTTACAAAAGCAGCTTTGAGAGAATGCAGATGGGAATGCTGCTCTGTCTGGCAGCTTGTCTGAGATCCATGCCTCTTCAGCACAAACCCCATTGTCTGTCCGTCATCCTGGGAACCACAGATCACAACAGCACTCTTTTTATGCTGCTCTGGTGCCTCTGCTGCTTCATTCCCAGTTCTCACCCTGAGGTGGTGGATCTGCCCCCAGGGCACATTGTGAGGACACTGGGTTGTCACATATGGAGGTAGCTAGTGGGTATAGGCCATGGATACCAATCAACATCCTACGGTGCACAGGACATGGACACTCTCCCCCTGGAGGGTCAGCTATGAATCTGTTCTGACTCGATGGCAATGAGTGAATTTTATAACTTAGAAGTGATTAGGTTTAAGACCCACCCTTCTCTGGTGCAACCATATTAACAAAAGAAAAAAACCCATTCGTAAGCAAGAGTCATTCATGGAAAAGAATCCAGGACTTTAATGCATGTTTTGTTTGTTGTTGTTGTTTCTTTTTTAAATTTTATTTTATATTGATTTGCTCACAAAGTTCATATACATTGTGTTTAACACCATTCTTCATTTATATTATGCTTCATATGATCATTCCTATCCATTATGTCTTATAAAATCAATCTCCATTGGACCTTACCCATCATTACCCAATCTTTTCAGGTCCCCACTGGATCCTTTCCATTTCTATCACCCCCTCCTTTTACCCACCAAAATGTGCAACCCTATGGTTTTGCCCCTGCCCATCCTCACCCCTCTGCTCCCACTCCTTGCCTCCTTGGGTCCCCATACATGTTTTACTAGCATGTTTTGAGAGGACATAATTCAATCCACAACAGCTAGCCGGCAGGATGTGCATGACTAGGGGTGGAGGGACTCCTCTCGGGGCCTCAGTTTCTCCTCTTGTAAAGGATTGTCTGCTGGCACTCGCAGCTTGGGCAATCCACAGCCAGGCCCATTTGCCCCCCTTGAACAGAGCTCAGTGGCTTTGGGGTGGCTGTCCAGGCTGGGCAGCCTCTGGGAAGA